ACATTTTAAAATTCAGTTTGTCTTGCTGAATTGATGTTTTAAGTTCCTCATGCATTTCTAATAACGCTTCCATTTATTTGCTAATTCTAGACATTTGCTTCCGTCCTGGAAATACCCATTACATTGATGAATCAGAAAACTAGCTAAATTTAGTTAGTTTTACTGTTCCTTAATCTTGACTAGGGTAGTGTTTTGGTTTAGAACAGTAGGTTGACATGAATTGTGCTTTTTCTGCTGTGTATGAAGAAAAAGCGTAAGAAATACTAGAATATTTACATTTGGATAAAATCTTCACTGCCATACAAAATCACATATTAAATCTTCATTTAGGGTGTAGAAAATAAGTGACTTGTTACTTTTAGGGCTTTGGAGAGCTGTATTTATAAAGATTCCCAATGCTACGTGCTAATTTACCTGATGTTACTTCTTATTTTTGCTACTATTTTTCATTTAGGAAAATAATTGTGAGAAGCTAATATTTTCTTATTTTGCAAACATTTACCTTTAATTTATACATTATCTGTTATAACAATAAATATTTTCAATCTTTTCTTTTTGTGATATGTGAATTATGTCACGAGCCATAAAGAGAATTAAAGACCCAAATTACTTCTCAGCAGGTAGTGTCAATGGTAATGCATTGTGAAAAAAATTCGCCTGAGCACATGCATTCTTTGGGGATTTATGCTGTCATTTGTTAAAGAAAATGAAAGTGTCTTATTTGCCTGATATAGTAATTTAAGTCTATACAGTATTTAATTAGATTACGACGTTAAAAATCATTAACGTTCCATTGGCTGCTACAAGGTCAGAGAAAAGGATAAAAAACTCATTTCTGGATAGGTAAGCCTAAACTATAACCTAGTTAAATATTTCCCTTGACGATTTTTCTACAGTGGCATTTTGGTCACATTTCAAAAGTATTAGGGTAAAACAAATCAAAAGTCTGTATGATGTTTAACAGATAGGAGATAATAGCAGTTGGAATGATTTAAAAAAAAAACATCATAGAGTTTTGAAAAATTGAGAAATAATTCAGAGAGAGAACCTGCTGAATTCTGTCTTTGGACTAATTATTTAGTGTTTCAAAGGTTAGTCTTATTTTTTCTTTAAAACTTCTTTCTTAATTATACAATTAATGCATGATCATTATAGAAAACTTAGAAAAACATACATGCAAATATTATAAAAATTAAACAGAAACACCCGAGGTTGTACCACCCTATTAATGATTATTAACATTTTAACTATGCTTCTAGACTTTTTTCTCTATGTAAATATATTTTAATAGTTTTTTTTTTTTTTTTTGAGACAGTCTGGCTATGTTGCCCTGGGTAGAGTGCACTTGTATCATCGTAGCTCACTGCAATCTCAAACTCCTGGGCTCAAGAGATCCTCTTGTCTCAGCCTCCCGAGTAGCTGGGACTACAGGCACACACCACAACACCAAGCTAATTTTTCTATTTTTAGTAGAGACAGGGTCTCACTTTTGTTCAGGCTGGTCTCAAACTCCTGAGTCAAGCAATTCTCCTGCCTTGGCCTTCCCAGAGTGCTAGGATTATAGGCATAAACCACTGGACCTAGCCTTAATAAATCTTTTGTAAGATAAAAATGGAACGATACAAGGCAAACTGTTCTGTAATCTACATTTTCCCTTGAAAATATCTTTCCATGGCAGTAAACATAGAATACATATTTCCTAATAACTGTACATTATTCAACTATATAGATATACCATAATCGACTTAATCCTGGGACATTGGATATTATTTCTAGTCTTTTTAGTGTCATAAACAGTATGTGATGAACATTAATGATTGTGCCTATTTGAGCACAGAGCCAATGATTATCTTAGCATAAAGCGTTAAGGATTGCTAGGTCAAAGAATATTTGTACTTTTTTTTTTAGAGCTTTTGATACATCTTGCCAAATTCTTTCCAAAAAGGTGGTACTGATCTTTACTCTGACTAGCCAGTGATTAGTTCCTGTTTTTCTGCACTGAAGGCCAGCACTGTTTAATCTGCAAGTCTGAAAGTCTGCTTATTTTTATTTTCATCTTTTTACTACTGAGATTGAATTTTTCACATTTCTTATGTTACATTTCCTTCTGTGAGAGTGAATTGCCTTTTTAATAGTCTGAGACGAATTTTCCTATTAAGGTGTTTGCTTTATAATTTTTTACTTATAATGAAGATTTAGTCTGTATAGTTTGTGATTTTCTTCCTTAACAATATGGTATTTCGGGGGAATATTTTTAGCCCTTTAGTTTTCTTTTCCCCTGTAGTTAAAATTTGTTCGTTTTTTTCTAAAGACCTATTTTAAATGTAATATGTAATATATAAAATAATGCATAATTTTTATATACCTCGTGATTTTCACTGATTCTGGAACATACTTTTTTTCCTCTTTAAAATAATTTCAGGAGCAGACATGGTAAGCATACATAATGAAGAAGAAAATGCTTTTATACTGGATACTTTGAAAAAGCAATGGAAAGGCCCGGATGATATCCTACTCGGCATGTTTTATGACACAGACGGTAAGTGATACTTACCCTGTGGGACATGACTTTGTTTTTCTTCCTTTACTATTAGTAAAACTGATGGCATTCACATTCTTCAATTCTGTAGTTCAAGTTGATGTTTCCTGTGGGCTCTGGGTATTACATTTTCAGTATGCACTTGTGGCTTGTACCACCACATGTCTCTGAGTAGCTCAACATGTTTCACAGATGAGAGCCACAGTTGATTTTCTTGTCTGGATTAAAATGTGGTTCTAAGCACAGTATTTTTGTAATATGGCATGGTCATAAAAATTAGTGTTACTGTCAGTGATTATTAATAGTAGGACAGACTAAATTATCGAGGTTATATTATATAAATGTATTTATTATCACTATAGAAAAATATAAAGTATATATATAAACATTTTCAAGTGATATGAAATCACTAGTTACTATTAATATTTGAACTATTTTTCTTGACTTTTTCCCCATGAAAATACTATATATATTTTTCTTTACAAAAATGGGATCTTTATCAGAACCCTCTTCAACCAATATCTTTTGATGATTTGTCTGTACACAGGATATATTCCTCCTTCTAATTTTAATCCTATAAGCAAAAGTTTGGGCCAGACATACCTTAGTAACTTCCCACCTTTAATCCTAGACCCTTTCCTTTGACTTTCTTTTAACACCTTTTAAAACTGTCATAATATTGAAAATATTCCTTAATTGACAGATGCAAGTTTCAAGTGGTTTGATAATTCAAATATGACATTTAATAAGTGGACAGACCAAGAAGATGGTGAGGATCTAATTGACACCTGTGCTTTTCTGCACACCAAGACAGGTGAATGGACAAAAGGAAATTGTGAAGTTTCTTCTGTGGAAGGAACACTATGTAAAGCAGCTAGTAAGTATGATTGAAGGTCTTTTTTTCACTCTAAGAGGGATGGGGAAAGTAGGACTGGTTTTTCAAATAATTTGAGATTAGTGTAGCTCATTAAATAGAGGGAATAAGACTTCAGAATATAGTAGGATGGTTTTCTTTCAAGTCTCTTGGAAGTCCAATATGTAATTTTGACATTTAGGAGGTAGGGCCAGATCATGTGAACAAGGCATAATTTTATTCTGTTTATTCTTACTGTTTGCAAGAGGTCAAAAACTGTTCTGTTGTTCAAAGAAATTATTAGTCTCTTTCTATGTGATTTGATTGAGCAGAAGTGGTGAAGAAAAGTCATGTATAATTCCAGAATTCTCATGTAACTTTACAAAGAATTAGATTCTATGTAAGAACTAACATCTTTTGTTTAGGCGAACAAAAATTATATTGTGGCTTATAATTTATCTGAATTAAAATATAAATTCTGACCCATCAGAATGCTTTTCAATGAACAAAATTATCCTGTTCCACAACAATATTTTGATGTTATTTGTTAAACACTGCACAAAGTTTTTTCTTCCAAATTTTAGAAAGTATATGTTTTCTTATTAAAGAAACAAAATTTCAGAATATGTACTTGGGGTGCTTGACACATGATATAAAAATCCATTTCCCCATTTTGCATCCTTAGTATTTTCCTCTTCTACTTCAACTGTAGACCAAAACCATACATCTGGCTCTGATTGTTTCCTTTCTTACATATAGAATTACACGTATTTCTTTATTTGCTACAGCAGGATCTTTGACTGCAATTAGTTTTATAGTGATTATATCAATGTTTGTCATAGTTTTATGGTAGTAACATTCAATTTAAAACATTTGATTTTTAAAAAATTGATTCTCTTCAAACAGTGTACCTCAGGGCACCATTATATAAGCCCAGTTTTTAAAGACTACAGTGCTAAGAAAAAAATAAACCAAGTTTTTAATTAAACTATAACTTCAAAGCCTGAGAAATAGCGAATCCATATTAATGAAGTTGAAGTCACAGCTA